TGGACCTATTTGAAGAGAGGTGGTGGTTTGAGCTCTCGCCAGTTACATTTACAGCCTACTACCAGACCTTAAATAAAAACAGAAAGTGCTGGAGAAACTCAACAGGTCTGGCAGCATCTGTGGAGAGAGGTTTCGAGACTGATATGGCCATTCAGAACCCATCATGCTCATAAGCAAAGTCCATAGTTGGGGCAAGAGTAGATGGTACATACCCGTGTCTGGTTTCCTTAATAAGCATGTAGCACGTGATCTGTCTGAACAGCTGAAGGAAGCTATGACTTGGTTAAGCTGTGCCATGTGGGAGGACGCATATAGATTTTTGTTTTATTTTAATCAATGTGTTCAGATGCGTTATTACCTAACTCCTGAAGTATGAGGGACTTGAACCAGGGCCTTCTGGCTCCGAGGCACTACCCCGGTTAAAATGTAAAAACAGCTCCAAGTCTAGGGGAGAGGCAAACGAATGAGGATTCTCTCAATTGTCGCCTGTCCAGTGACCCTGCAGGATTTGCCTGAGCCTGAAATAAGGGCGTAGGTGAAAACTGAATCGGCCCTGGCTGTACCTTCTCATTAGATGAATCACACCTTTACTGAAGTACCAATGAAATCATAACGCAACATGTTTCAGGCACAAATATTCTAAGCCTTTTTTTTGGTTCAACATTGCCTCAAGCATTACTTTTTAATGTAAGATACATCCAATCTGAAATAGTAGCTTGAAAGTAGGTGAAACTTTGGGTTTCAACACTAGATTCTTGTAACTGGGCTCCTGTGCATCCAATCTAAAGAGATTTCAATCTGTTCTTTTGATGGTTTAATGGGGTGGATGGAAAAGAGAGAGGTATGGAGAATGACACCCCTATTCATTTACACAAAAAAAAAGAATGAATACTGTAGTTTCAAATGCATGGACCAAGTTCTTGTTGATAGGGTGTAGGTGTTGCTGGTTAATCCAGCAGTTATTGTCCATTCCTAATTGCCCAGGGTCTGCAATAAGTCATAAAGTCATACATCTTCGGTTCAACTGGTCCAGGCCGAACATAATCCCAAACTAAACTAGTCCCACCTGCCTGCTCCTGGCCCATTTGCCTCCAAACCTTTCCAATTCATGTCCTTATCTAGGTGTCTTTTAGAAGTTGTAACTGTGCCCGCATCCACCGTTTCGTCAGCAAGTTCATTTCACACGCAAACCACCCTCTGTGCAAAAAAAAAAAAAAAATTCCTGTCCTGTTTTTTTTAACATCTCTCTCTCTCTCTCTCTCGTCTTACCTTAAAAATACACCCCCTAGTAGATGTTGGTGTGATTGCGGAGCTGGGAGGTTTAATAACAGATTTTTCGTCCCCATACTAGGTGACATCCACAGTGCTGTGGAGCCTCCTGTGAAGCGCTGTTGTCTTGCGCCGGTTTGAAGCAGCCAAAACCAGACGATATAAATTTGAAACAGCACAAGACAACAGTGCTTCACAGGAGGCTCCACAGCACTGAGGATGTCACCTAGTAAGGGGACAAAATGTCTACTATCAAACCTCCCAGCTCCACAATCACACCAACATCTACAACCAGCACCGAAGCTACAAATCTTCATTCAAACCCTATGCCCTCTAGTCTTTGAAAACCCCCACCCTAGGGAAACGACACCAACCATTAACCTCTTGATTTTATAAATCTCAATATAGTCACCTCTCAACCTTTTATGCTCCAGTGGAAAAAAAAGTCTCAGCCTATCCAAGATAACAAGGTGTAGAGCTGGATGAACACAACAGGCCAAGCAGCATCAGAGGAGCAGGAAGGCTGACGTTTCGGGCCTAGACCCTTCTTCAGAAATGGGGGAGGGGAAGGGGGTTCTGAAATAAATAGGGAGAGAGGGGGAGGTGGATAGAGGAGAAGATAGACAGGTCAAAGAGGTGGGGATGGAGCCAGTAAAGGTGAGTGTAGGTGGGGAGGTAGGGAGGGGATAGGTCAGTCCAGGGAGGACGGACAGGTCAAGGGGGCGGGATGAGGTTAGTAGGTAGATGGGGGTGGGGCTTGAGGTGGGAGGAGGGGATAGGTGGGAGGAAGGACAGGTTAGGGAGGTGGGGACGAGCTGGGCTGGTTTTGGAATGCGGTGGGGGAGGGGAGATTTTGAAGCTTGTGAAGTCCACATTGATACCATTGGGCTGCATGGTTCCCAAGCGGAATATGAGTTGCTGTTCCTGCAACCTTCGCGTGGCATCGTTGTGGCACCGCAGGAGGCCCAGGATGGATATGTCGTCTGAGGAATGGGAGGGGGAGTTGAAATGGTTCGTGACTGGGAGGTGCAGTTGTTTAGTGCGAACTGAGCGTAGGTGTTCCGCAAAGTGGTCCCCAAGCCTCCGCTTGGTTTCCCCGATGCAGAGGATGCCACAACGGGAACAGCGGATGCAGTATACCACATTAGCAGATGGGGGTGAGGGTGGAGGTGTAGGGGCAGGTGTAGCACTTCCTGCGGTTGCAGGGAAAAGTGCTGGGGGGGGTGGTGGAAGTGTGGAGCGGACAAGGGAGTCACGAAGAGAGTGGTCCCTCCGGAAAGCAGATAAGGGTGGGGAGGGAAAAATGTCTTTGGTGGGGTCGGATTGCAGATGGCGGAAGTGTTGGAGGATGATGCGTTGGATCCGGAGGTTGGTGGGATGATGCGTGAGGACGAGGAGGATTCTGTTTTGGTTGTTATTGCAGGAAGGGGGTGTGAGGGATGAGTTGCGGGAAATGTGGGAGACGCGGTCGAGGGCGTTCTCGACCACTGGGGGGGGGGATGTTGCGGTCCTTGAAAAACGAGGTCATCTGAGATGTATGGGAATGGAATGCCTCATCCTGGGAGCAGATGCGGTGGAGGCGAAGGAATTGGGAATAGGGGATGGCATTTTTGCAGGAAGGTGGGTGGGAGGAGGTGTATTTTAACCCCTCAGCCTATCCAACCTTTCTTTATAACTCACACCTTCCACTCTTGAGCGATGAAGTGAAGTTAGGAATGCAGGTACTCTATTGTCAATGAGGTTTTATTATTGCCAGATCCTTTCAATAGAGGTGATCTTGCTTTCTTCATTTCAAAATGTATTGGATTTAGACATGTTGGGGCATTTTGTTTCTCTAGACTTAACCATGTATCTGAACAGTTTGTAACTATTTTGATTTGTGTGAGCAATAGCATGTGATTCAACTATTGGCTGCAGTGCTGTCTCTGGTATTTCCGCTTTGGAGTTTGAAGCGCTATCATTAAAGAAATTGACTTGCTTTGTGGTGTAATTGTTGTCTGTCTTGATTTCACGTAGCTAATTATTGTCTGACTACACTGAGAGCTGTTTTTGCTGACTTGTAACTGCTTAATTCTCTCTTCTTAGTTCCTTGCTGTATTATTTCCATTATCTCTGACTTTTTATTGTATCCACACACTCTCTCAGCCACTACTCTTTTCGAAATCTCTAACAGGAAGTGTCTCCAGGCTGTTCCTGAGCTCTCTGTTTTCTCCAACATATTTGGAATCTGTTGTGCAGCTGCCAGCTAATCTTTAGCTGCTGGTAGATTTTTGATGAGAGACTATTGAGTTCAGCAAAAACATATTGAACTTGAAAGATTTATAGAACCAAGTGTGGTTGATTTGTGGTTTGGATGCTGACTGGTTATAAGGATGGGGAATATCCTGGTGCTTAGCAATAGGGCCTTACTCACTTTGGATCAGACCAGATGCAACCAAGCATACTTGGATGAATTTGTATATTTTGTACAACATCTTTGCTTTGTTTTAATTGTTGAGCTTTTTTATCCAATGCATTTCTGCTGGAACTGAAGTATTCAGTTAGACAACTTAGTGTGACTTGGACTTAGATTTATTGTGAGGTGGTTTTCTAACTTTTTATCAATCTCTGCTACACTCTTCTATCTACTTCATCTCCTTCCCTGATGGCCATTTTTTTTTCTATCCTTTCTTGTGCTGACCATATTTTGGTTCCAGCTCCCTTGGACTTAGTCTACGTCATCGGAGAGGTGAAAACCTACTGGTATTGTCATTGGACTGTTAATCCAGAGGCCCAGGTAATGTTCTGGGGATTCGGGTTCAAATCCCGCCATGGCAGATGGTGGAATTCAATTTTAAAAAACCTGGAATGAAGAGGCTAATGATGACCACAAATCCATTGCTGATTACCAAGAAAAGCCCATCTGGTTCACAAATGTCCTTTAGGGAAGGAAACTGCCATCCTTACCTGGTCTGGCCTACATGTGACTCCAGACCAACAGCAATGTAGTTGACTCTTAAATGCTGCCTGGGTAGTTAGGGTTGGGCAATAAATGCTGGCTTCATCAGTGACATGCTCATTCAATGGATTAAAAAAAAAACACCTACCATTTTCCAGCTCCTTTTCACTTCTGAAGAGGAGATATATGGACACGGAACATTAACAGAGTTTCTTTCTCTGCAGATATCTCCAGACCTGCTGAGTTTCTCCAGCATTTTCTGCTTTTATTTCAGATTGCTAGTATCTACAGTATTGTATGTTTAATTGGGAAAGTTTGAAATTCCTTTTATCTGTCCTGTTGTGTGGTTGATCGTGGTTTGGAAGTTGACTGGTTATAAGGATGGGGCTTAGCAATGGGGCCTTACTCACTTTGGATCAGACCAGATGCAGCCAAACATATTTGGATGGATTTATATGTTTTGTACAACACTTTTTTTTGTTTTGTAAGAGCGTTGGAAAGACTCCTGGCAATTTCCTACAGCATGCTATCGAATGGAGTCCACGTGCGCACTTGTTTCACTCCTGTCGGTGCCCACATAAACGAATGTTGACATTAAAATTTTTTGTTTTGCAGAAGTAACGTTGTGAATGCCCTTTAGTCTGGGGACAAAAAAAAACTCTAATGAACTGGCATTTGTACAATTTGCTATGTTTAACCTCTGACCTTGTTACAAGCTATTTAACTTGCTTGCTGCTGTGCTGTCATAACTTGTTTTTTTTTTGAAAAAGGAATTCTTAAAATCTTTTTACAGGTTTACAAACCCACTGGCCCAGATGGTAACACAGGGAGGGGACAGAGGATACACCTTCAGCTTTGGGACACAGCTGGTCAAGAGAGGTGGGTGCTTTTCACTTCCATAGAAACATAGAATCGTGGAATCCCTACAGTACAAGCAAGTGATTTGGCCCATCGAGTCCACGCTGACTTTCCCCGAGCATCCCACCCAGACCCATCCCCCTACCCTAACCTCCCCGTAACCCTTCTTTTCCCATGACTAATCCACCTAACCTGCACATCTTTGGACTGTGGGAGGAAACTGGAGCCCCCAGAGGAAACCCACTCAGATGCAGGAAGAACATGCAAACTCCACACTGGCATTCGCCCGAGGCTGGAATCGAACCTGGGTCCCTAGCATTGTGAGGCAGCAGTGCTATCCCCTGAGCCAATGTCCCACCCCCACATAAAAATTAGGGGCCTGTGTAGGCCATTCAGCCTGTCCAGCAAAATGGTCACAGCTGATCATCCCCATACCCTTTGATCCCTTTAGCCCTAAGAACCAAATCCAACTCCTCCTTGGAAAACATTGTGTGTTTAGATCTCAGTTGCTTTCTGTGGCAGAGAATTCCATAGGCTCACCACTCTCTGGATGAAGAAATTTCTTCTCATTTCTGTCCTACGTGGCCTACCCTGTATCCTAAGAGTGTGACTCCTTGGTTCTGGATTCCCTGATCAATGGGGGCATCCTTCTTGCCTTCTACCTAGTCCTGTCAGAATTTTACAGCCTTCTAGGACACTCCCCCTCCTTTTTCTAAACTCCAGTGAATATAATCATAACAGATCCAGTCTCCCTTCAGACCGCAGTCCTGCTGTCCCAGGAATCAGTCTGGTAGACCTTTTTGTTACACCCTCTCCATCACCAGAACATCCTTCCTCAAATAAGTAGACTAAGTCTGCACACAATAGTCCAGGTGTGGTCTCACCAATTCCCACTGCAATTACAACAAGACATCCCTGCTCCTGCACTCAAACCCTCTCACTATTGAAGGCCAACTTTCAGAGCAGTGAGAGATGGTGAATCCCAAAGTCTTCCATAGGCTTAAATACTAAAACGGCCATAAAAGGACCAATAGGACTGATTGGAACCTAAAAAAAGGAGATGAAGGCATGAATAAGGTATTAACTATATATTTTGTCTCTATCTTTACCAAGGAGGTAGATGCTACCTAGACCATGCTAACAGGAGGAAACTTGTCGCGAGAAACGTTCAAAGTTGAAAAGGATGAAGTATTTGTTAGATTTTCCGTACTTAAGTTGACAAAGCACTGGCACTGGATGGGATGCATCCAAGGATATTGAAGGCATTTGGCATTTGAGACCACACACTCGCTTCCGGCTACTTTTTAATAAGTATTACATTAGCATGGATAGGCGATTGGCTAATTAATAGAGGACAAAGTTGGGATAAGGGGGCATTTTCAACATGGCAATCTCTAACTTGAGGAGCACCGCAGGGATCAGTGCTGGGGCCACAATTATTTACAATGTATGTGTGACTTGGAAAGTGAATGAACTGTAGCCAGGTTTGCAGCTGACCCAAAAATATATGGGAAGGCAAGTGGTGAGAATGACCCAAGGAGCCCTCCGAGGGATACAGAAAGGTTAAGTGAGTGGGCAAAAGCCTTGGAATATGATGGGGAAAAGGGGAAAAGTAAGAGGTTTTGCACTTTGGCTGGAAGTATAGATGAGCTGAATGTGATTTAAATGGAGAAGGACTTTGGAAAATGACAGAACAGAAGGATTTGGGACGCCTCACGCGTGAATCGCAAAAAGCTAGTATCCAAGTTCAGTGAGTAATAGGGAAGGCAAATGGAATATTGGCTTTGAATAAAAGGGAATAGATTACAAACAAAATGCTGGAAACTAGGGGGGGATTCCCAGAACACCGTTACCTCTGAATCAATCTCTAATTTTCTTGACTTGATGGAGTTTACTTTTGTTGTTGTGAAAGATAAAATTTTGATAAGTACAAATAAAGTTTTATTAATTTATCAGCCATAGTTGGTTATGAGTTTTTTCATTTTGAGGTCCTGCGAGGTTGGATTATAATCAATTTCATTTTTTTTCCTTTTCTACTCCAGATTCCGCAGTTTAACAACTGCCTTCTTTCGAGATGCAATGGGTTTTCTTTTGGTATTTGACTTGACAAATGAGCAAAGCTTCCTCAATGTCAGAAACTGGATAAGTAAGTTCAGTTGCAAGCATCAATTGTTTCTGTTTGCTTGGCTCAAAAACATGTTTTAGTTTCTTTTGATTTGACAAGGCTGATTGAATCTCAGAACGTGACTGTGGACTGATGCAGAGTTGATGTTCGGGATGGGGGATCTTGACTGACACCAGTGGCTCGATGGTTATCACTGCCGCCTCACGGCACCAAAGACCTGGGTTCAATTCCAACCTCAGGTGACTGTGCAAACTCCACACAGACATTCTCCTCGTGTCTGTGTGGGTTTCCTCTGGGTGCTCCAGTTTCCCCTCTCAGTCCAAAGATGTGCAGGTTAGGTGGGTTAGCCACGGGGAAATGCAGCGTTATACGGATAGGGTAGGTCCTTTATTCATTCATGGGATGAGGGCATTGCTGGCTAAGGCAGCATTTATTGCCCATCCCTAATTGCCCAGAGAGCAGTTACAAGTCAACCACACATGCTGTGGGTCTGGAGTCACATGGATACCAGACCAGGTAAGGATGGCAGTTTCCTTCCCTAAAGGACGTTAATGAACCAGATGGGTTTTTCCTGACAATCGATTCATGGTCATCATTAGATCCTTAATTCCAGATATTTATTGAATTCTAATTCCACCATCTGCTGAGGTGGGATTCGAATCTGGGTCCCCAGAAAATTATCTGGGTCTCTGAATTAACTGTCTAGTGATAATATCACAAGGCCATCACCTCCCCTATTGGTATAGGTCAGGATGGGATGCTGTTTGGAGGGTCCGTGTGGACTCGATGGGCCAAATAGCCTGCTTCTAAGGATCTTTTGACTCCTACTTGAATGAGATTAGCTAAATTAACAATGGCATGACCAAGGCCTCTTTGCCTGATAACTATGTGAGAATGTGGACTTCAAATTGACATACTCCCATGTTTTTAAATGGATGGGAGAGGAGAGATAAATCTGCTGCATTCTTACAGAGAGCTCAGGTTTCATTTGTAATTTCTAAGATTGGCACGGAAAGGTGAATAGTCAAGGGGATCCCTC